TATCTGTATTCTATGTAAATGGATTGTACCTGTCAAATAGAGAGCGTTCTGGTGCGTGATGGACCGTGTTTAACATGTATCATGGAATACAAATATCGCAGACCGCTGACCGCATACCGGGTTATGTTGCAGGGCCTTTAGTTCGGCGCAAAGGGATTTCACAATAGGTTGTAGTGCGAGAGAGAAATAGCATGACCTAAGGGATCCCCCTGTTAGCAATCTACGGCAGACATAATGGTTTGGGATCCGAAAAACATAATCTGGACGGATGATGGTAACAATGTAAATGCGAACGCTTCCGGAAATCGTTCTTCCACCGCCCTTAGAAACACATCCCTCCAAACTCCTGGCGTATGTTTTCAGGATTAGGCGCCATATCGTATAGCCAACGGTCAAAGCGGGTATAAGCGTACGTGAAGCAGATTAGCACTAAGCGATACGTACTAATGAAAAGTACTAAATCCATGTAAACTAGAAATTAATCGCCGACTTACACCGCGACGACGCAGGTTCGAATCCGAGGGCGCGCGTTTTTCTTTTACTACCTATTCATCATCAAATGTATGCGACAAATTTTTGTAATAATTATTTTGATTAAAAGGTACAATGATAGTTCACACACACACTGGAAAAGATAATAAGTGCATAAGACTTACTTTATACGAAGAGATATGCGGTTTAGATGTAGGTGAAAATTAGAGCCGACGGGAAATGTTTTAGCTTAAAAACGCCGCATTTCTGCACCTTTCGGCACTGTATGCATAGTAACGCCATTACGCCACTTTTATTGAACAAATGTGTACCTACTCAGAAAGTAAGTAGGTACCTAAGGTCTGGTTGCGCTGGGATGCCAAAATAAGTAGATTATTGATATAACATAGGCATTGCAGTTGAAAAACAATAGTAGCATGGACTTCCGGTTAAGCCGGAAATGATACCGGATATCTCAATATGCGATCGGATAGATCGTAATGTCACATATAAAATTATATTTGACAATTTTTTCGTATCCCGCGAAATACAAGAGATATTGATGTCACCCTCTAAACTCGAACGCACTGTATACCTATAACTTACTATCCGAATGTGAAACCCCTCAGTTACTGTACTTACAGGGGTGATTGTCAGAGGGTCCTGACGTTCTTTCAATGTCTGAATATCCAAATCATCACACTATTTGTGGACCTGCACAACGAATAAAAGCGCCCAATTTCACAAAAAGCCCCTAATGTTGGACGCCTAAGGATACCAAAACAAACTAATGCCTCAATGTCGCATATCAATCCGGTTGCTTTTATGCCGAAATTTTCATTTGTAATATTATGCCACTGTAATAACAAAAACAATGTAACCGTCCATTATAACTCACAGCGATTTATATTCTCAACCGTATGTACTACCTAATACCTATTTGCCTCTCTGAGATTTAATTAAAATTCTCGTTTTGCATTCGCATTGCGATGTAAATTAACTTATTTACGTGAATCTGAATAACGGCATTAAAATTTCGTCGAATATAATGGCGGCATCGAAAGATGTAACTTTTTAAATTGGTAGATATTCAATTTCCCTAATAATGGTCATAAATTGACGAGCACTGAGTGATTAGATTTAATCTGACTATATTGGCCTTTATTCGTATTCATTCGTCCCATTTATTTGTGACACTAGTTGGACCCGTTTGTCAGCTTTAGAGAAGACCATTTTCATTTATAAATTGGAATGAAATGCGTCAATCAATATCGATGTAAACTAACAAGCATATACTAATACTATTAGCTCAGATTTGAACGATACCGAGCAATGTCTTTAGTACTTGTTTTCTAAGATCGCATGCAAAAGCTGTCTCTGGAAAAGGGACTGCGATATCAATAGCTATTCTTTCAAATGGACCTAGGATTCTTTTATGTAGATTGTTTTATGTTGTTGGTAAGGAAATTGGAAGAGTTTTGTACATAAGAAAAGACAAGAAAAGATGAAATATATTACGCACAAAAAACATCACGGTACAAAAAACCTGGCATAACACGCACAAATACATACTACGACATCAAAATGGAAAAGAGAAATATACAAATAAAACGTCTCAGGTAGGTACCTAATCGATTCTAATGTAGTCAAACAAATAAATAGGTAAAACGAAATACAGGAGACATCATCGCTACAAATGGAAGACAAGATAAATCAAATTATTACAAAAACACAGTTTAGATAAAACAACTGGTTGATAAATTGCATGTGCACAAAAAACATCAAAATCGCATGACTTGCCCCTGCATAGGCTACCATTAATTTAATGTGAAACGTATAGGTGAAAATAGCAGCAGTATTTATGTTAAACTATTTATATTATGTTCGACCAACACAAACAGACGCATATTACATATACTAAAAAGAAAAAAGTTAATCAGATGTCCTTCTTCTCGTATTGCTAAGATACAAGAGTTGCAGTTCACACGAGATTAGTAAGAAACAGATACGGCGAAGAATCGTAACTATATCAGGTACTTATTCCACGGTATAAATGGCTAGTAGAATAATACAGAACAATTTCCTACTCTCTCACGAAAACGAATACGTAAATACATACTTGTTAAAATAGTATACAGGCATAACCACATGTACAAATCTTTTGCAAATTGTAAATAATAATAAATTGTGGCTTGAAATTTAAATATTGATTTTTAGTAGAAGATAGAATAAAATGATTATAACTATCTGTGATTGCGCACTTTTTAAAGCAAAACAAAGAAAATAAACATTGAGAAAGTCGGTGCGCAATCACATTCTGAAGCCATTGAAAATCCGATTTTCATTCCGCCTGTATGCTCTATCAAAGTTATAGCCTACTGTAAGTAAAAAATTCTCCAATATCTAAAGACTTATTCAGAGTGACATCTAGTGTCGACTTTAGACTGAAACAGAAATACCTAAGATCTACATAATGAGTAAAAAAGAAACCCTCTTGACTTATTCCACAGAAAAGGATGTATCCCATAACGGCAATTTTACCGTTCTCGTGAACGCAGAAATATATACGATACGCACCTGCTTCCTCAACGTTCAGATTAAACTGCGGGGTCAGGTGGCAGTAGCCCCCACATATAAAAAAAATGGTAGCTCCTTAACCACCATGGAGGCAGCACCGGTTGCGCCACAGTAGTGCACTAAGGACAACGAACCGTTTCTGAATTCTGCTGACGTCATTCTAGCGATCGCTCGCACGCCATCAGAAAAATTCAAATAATTTGTTATTTGATCGCTCACGCCGCTTCAAAACTCGTTTCATCCGCTCGCGTCGCCGACGTAGAACTCGATCATAACGACATGCGTTTTGATCAATTCGCATCGTTCGCGTCGCTCGCATCGCTCGCTTCTACCGTTCACGTAGGACGGAACACTCCAATCCTATTTATTATACAAAAAACCATCCTGACATCTAACGATTAAAAGAGAAAACATTCGAAATAAATTTCTAACACATTTGTAATGCTACAGCCATTGAGAAATTAGTTACTCTTTGGCAGAGACTTGTTATAACTAGACCGCGCGTAACGTAGATTTTACTATAAACGCCTGTTGTCAAGATAGGATAGGCAACCAACTGTTCATCGCGGGGCAGACGTACGTTCTGCAGCTTGCTTTAGCCATGTTTATTCTAAATTTTAGTAGCAAAAAAAGATAACATATAGCTGTTAACTGATTTAATCGAATTTATTGGTATTTTATTTGAACTAAATTGGTATATAACTGCCTTATTCTAGTCCTAATTTGATTTATATGTGTATTTTGGTGGTGAACACGTATGGGAAAATATACTCTTAAAACCAAAGATGTAAGTAGTAAGATATGATTATTTAGCGGATTTTGATTCAATATATGCCTATCCAAAAACCCAAATGGGCTGTAACTGTTATTTATTTTTCTTAGACTGCTGATAACCATTTTGTTTACAACGCGGTGTGGTGTGGATTTAATGAAAAACCTGAACACATTTCCAGCAATTTGGCAAATTTTTAATGCATCGCTTGATACGTGCAACAATCCTTCACGATTTTTTCTAGTTAAAAGCTTTGAATGACTCTCTGATGCGAATATCGCATCTCCACATATGGAACATTTAACAGACTTAGCTATTTTTCTTGTAACAAAACTTGAAATATACTTAGTGCCAGTAAGTACTTAGTTATGTCTATACCTAATAGGCAAATAGGTACCTACTGCCGTTGTCTTGCTGGTAAAGGATGTCGAATAATAGTTCTACGTTGTTTTAAGTGAATGGGAAAGTCGAAAACGCTCGGTAGTGCATTATTGTTTAACACCTTCTTCGGTACCTTTCTAAAATCGGCTTCATTCCCCACAAATGCAGTATGGTGGGAGTAAATTTTTGTCTTCGAATGGCTCTGATCCATTGGCCCTTTAAACCTTTATCCGTTGAAAATCAGCACATTATTTAAAAATTTATCGACAGAGTACATGTTGATAGGCACGAGTTAACCTAAGTTTCTTGGTTTATTCTCAACAGAAATTTATCTGTTCACTAATTCGAGCTAATCACGAGAATGATTAATGAACGGAACATCTAAAATAACAGCTTATTTCATTATATTTGCATATCATCTCAGCGATTTTTGCCCCGCGGTGCATTGTGTGTTGCATACTGTGTCGACAACACCTTAGATACGTTAAGCGCAGTCTAGTTATAGCAAGTCTCTGCTCTTTGGCTACTGTATGGCTGGGAGGATAACAACAAATACAGTTTCAATGTAATCCTCCAGTTTCAATCGTTTACGGAGTTTCACATGATCAAATTGCCACCAGCGGCTGCAAGGCTGTCACAAATTGTTGTATGGGATCGGCGCTTCTGATTGTTATAAATTAAATGTTTCTGAACCCCTGTGCCGGTGGGTTTGCGAAACTTGTAGATCCGCCACTGTTTTACCATTTTTGCTCTGACACTTGTCCGTTGCTAACTTTATTCAGTAAAATGGTTGCTTTGCTTCTCAGTTGCTCACTTCATAAGTCTGACTACGAATACAAATAAATACAAAATACCATTCCATAAGTAAAATATGGCTAAAAGGCAATATTTTGTAGCGCTTGTGACTAGGAATCCTTAATTTATAATGCATTTAAAGGTACAAAATTGAATGGTGTATAGTATTTTAATAGAAATTGATCTAATTGGCGAGAATACCATTGTCTAATCAATAATGAATAAGTAGCGGAATAATAACAGTTTTTAAAGTGAAGAAGTGAGCACGCTCTTTAGAAAATGAGTGCAAGAAATAAATCGGGAAATAAACAGGATGACCGCAGCGTTGAGGTTTGTACTTAATGGTTCATTATTACTCCTAAGTCTTTACTATTGTGACAATTACCTACTTTTCAAAATTGTTTCTCATTTTTGTGTCAAACTAATCAAAATTTATTGTATTTTCGAAACTTTTCTTTTTTACATAATGGACAGTTGGAATGATAATACACCTGAATCTGTATTACTATTTCCAATGACGATAAAGTAAAATTTTGTTTATAATTTTACAGACGTTGGCGGAGGTATTTCGGTGTTTTATTTGTATGGAAAAGTTGAGGGACGCTCATCTGTGTCCGCATTGCTCAAAATTATGCTGTTACATTTGTATCAGACGATGGTTAACGGAACAACGGTCGCAGTGCCCACACTGCAGGGCGTCATTGCACTTGCACGAGCTGGTAAATTGCAGATGGGTTGAGGAAGTTACACAGCAGCTGGATTCCTTGCAGGCTGTAAGTGGGACACGTTGTGAGGACAATGAACGAGACAAGTAAGTATTTTTTATTTTTGCTTACACAAATTGTACATTAGGATAAGACGTTTCTTAATCAAAATGTAATAAACGAGGTAATAAACATCAATAAAAGTAGATCTTTTTTGGGCAAGGTGCTCGACTCATATGGAAAAATTGTCTGTTTATTGCTGGACTTGTCGATGCTGCATTTGCCATCAATGCGCCCTATGGGGTGGAACGCACTCCGGGCATACATTTAAACCGTTAGAGGAAGTTTACGAGCAGCACGTCACCCAAATTAAAGATGAAGTGGCACAGTTAAGACGACGTCTAATGGAACTTATTAGTATTGTACAGGAAGTGGTGTGTAGACTGCGCCATAACCGAATTTTCTCATCACTTGTACGTTTTCAGGAACGGAACGTCGAATCGGTGCGATCGGCTAAAGACGATCGAGTTAGAGAAATTCGTAATGCCGTAGAACTGATGATTGCTCGACTGGACTCTCAGTTAAAAACAAAACTGCTCACTCTTATGGGACAGAAAGATTCCCTTACTCAGGTGTGTATTTTTTTATGGACCTCCACTATGTTCGATGTTTCACATTAAATTAATTCAACATTTGAATTCTGAACCTGATCATTTTTCATCATTCATTTTAAACAATGCAGCAGTCCATGCTAGTTAATCGATCTGTTAACTGAACCCAAGGGATGAGACAATGTTTATTGGCAGCTTGAGACTCTCTACTGCCAAAATTTATTTCATGTAATTCAATTAAATACCAACTTTTGCGTATTAAATAACAAAAAATGTTTAAAGTGGGATAAGTGTCCAGTTCTCAATGTTCAGCTCAAATTTTAGCGCTTCATGTAAGACATTCTACGGAAGTGTAAGTGGGATCTGAATCTGTCTAGGAATTTACAGATCGTTCTCGAAAATTTATTAATCTACCTTAACAATCTTCTTAAATTTCTGTGAAGTTGTTTCAATATCAAGATAAATGAAGGTACCGCCTATGTACGCCCCGGCAACCAAGAGCTGGTTACGAAAATAAGAAATTTGCTATGGCTGCCACAGATACCACCTGCGCATGGGCGATTCTGCCTTTTTATGTCTAAAGAATATGTGTACCAAATTTGGTTCCAATCGATTCAGCCATTTAGCTGTAAATGAGATTAGGTCCAGACTGACCAACAGACCGACCAACATCATCGAGATTTTGTTTGATTCGGATTCCTGGTGCTTTAAAACGTGTATCTCCATCAAAAAAGTGGGAGATTTTTATCCCAATCCTTACTGACTCGCTTACTGATATGCGGGTGGTAAAAATGATAAAATGCGGTTAAATGGTTGTAGAAATATCTCCCTCACCAGTTGAGAATCCTATACCGTTGCAACCAGAAGCGGTTGCAGGGGCGTCTGAGGAATCCCGTCAGCTAAGTACAAAACTGAAACTGTCAATGTGACATTCTGCTATCAAGATTTTGGTCTATGTGTAAAAGCCCCAAGAAGGAACACAACTGGTCATCACCCTGTGAAGCTTTTTAGAATAAAAAAAATGCAGAAGAAACTGATATTATTTTGTTGTTAAATCAAATTTTTACAAATATACAGGGTGGTTCACAGAAAGAAGTCCACCCTAGAATTTTCCCGCCTTCCCAGTTTGGCTCTGAGATTAAGAATAGCAAATTTTAAACAAAAGTATCAATATTTATTTATGCATCAAGAACCCCTGCGCACTTTGTTTGAGAAAAGCAACAAATTTGTGTCAAATTGAGATTTTACCTTATTTTACACTACCGTACCATGTGTCCTATTTTGATTGAGACTGCAGTGTATCTCGGCTGTTTTTAAAGGTAGAGACTTAATGCCACGTATCGTTAAAGTCAATCACAATCATCGTAACGGAACTTTGAAATCACTTTCCTGCAAATTTATTTTTTTATTTTATTTTTTATTTATTTATTTTATTCCGAAAAACTAGTAGGTAGTTTTAAAGATAATTCGATTTGTAAGAAAAATTGAGCATTTGCAAGCGTCAGTATATTGTCAAAATTGTTACTTAAATTTTAATTCCAGGTTTTATGTCTGGGTCGAATTAATACATATACATATAATTATTAATTAATACAATTAATAAATATGATTTTAGCTTTGGACGAGGCAGATAAAAATTGCCTTTTTTTGGCATGGCCACCTCGTTATTATTATGTAAATTACAAAATAATAACTTTTTTAAGATTAGGATATAAAAACCAGGAAAACCAAGATATTTTGAAAAATATCAGAGATAGATATAGGGCATTATTATCAAAAGTTGAAGGATTTTGGAAGAGCTAAAAGATGAGAAAAATATACAGGGTGTTCCATTTAAAAAAAGTGAGATTTTTTAATATGAAGTTTTGTAACTTTGCATCTACAAAAAAACACTCTGTAAGCGATTTTTTTAATGGATAAAAGATATAAAACCTGGAATCAAAATTTAAGTAATAATTTTGACAATATACTGTCTTGCAAATGCCCAATTTTTCTTACAAATCGAATTATCTTTAAAACTACTAGTTTTTCGGATATTAACCATATAATAAAAAAGACGTACAATTACGCGTAGAACTCAAAAATGCTTTCAAATACTGGGGGTTCTATTTAAAAAAACGTACCATTTTGGCGCCCTATTTTGTGGGCGTACCCTGTATAATTCCAAATATTTTTAAAATGTGGAGAATATTCAACCATATCATAATACAAAAGTACTCTATCGAAAAATCTTATCTTCAAGGCATTAAGTTACTTCGCGCAATCGTTAACTCACCCTGTACATGTGAAAAATTAACTGTGTACACAAAATCTCCCAGATACCCATCTAACCACCCTGTATATTAATCTCAAATGAAAACAACGCGCATCTGTGGAATTAACCCTAACTTGTAATAACACCCTGTATCTGAGACCTCCAGCTAAAGGTCGCTTGACATGGAGTAATACAACGCGCGAAATTACAAGATCAAATCATTGCATGCAATAACAATTGCATTGTATTTGACATGAAGCAATTCTGTTTCAATGCCACATGTCTGATGACAGACGAATTTGGATGTGATAACAAAGTTACTAACCCCAAATACCCCCAAAAAATACGAAAATTACAAAAATAAATGAAATTAAAAAAAAAAAGTAATCAGTGCGTCCCTCAGCATCATAGTTATCGCGGCTGGATTTTACTAGGCTAGTGACGCAAAAACAACTAGATTGTGCCTAGAATTGCGCCATTCATGCAGGGAAAATAGCTCCGGTCCTATAAAAATTGCGTGAAAGTCTCTGGCAGCAATTGACCAACTGACTTTGAACTGCGCGTGCCTTTCGCAATTTCTCTTGCAACTTTCATGCAATTCAAATTTATAAAAGCAAACACCCTACTAAATCCGCAAGCAACTAATACAAAACAATTACCATACGCCCTATGTTATTTACAGTAATTACAAAGGACAAAGGAAATGATACATTTACCTATATTTGTAAATCAAAAACATTCCACCAAAAGTTATCTACGTTTTTCTGCTTCCTTTTCTCGCTTGAGAAAACTAAACCACACTCTCTTTTACGCGCGACCAATAGCGAGACTTTGTCCTTGTGTAATTTGAATTGCTAAGATTCGCAGTTGTCCGACTCGAAAATGTTCCTTCGCGTAAATTTTATCACTCGTACACAAATGGCTTTATCACATCAGGTTGCTAAACAGTTTTTCTTAGTCCCGGAATTTACTGTAATTCGTCTAGTCTAGTCGCACACCTACAAAATTGCAGGTAAGTCGCAATTCGTCGCCGAATAACGTGAAATAAACACCTGCTAAGCATTCAATTGCAACGCACTTAAAGTGGTACGTGAGTGTTCGCGAAAATCAACATAGAATAAATTTGCAATGGTGCAAAAATTCACGCACAAGCAGTGTACGTGGTTGCTCTTCGAATCCCTCGCTCTCCCCCTTCTCTCGCTATTTACATTTTGCTCGGTAGAAAAACTGAAAAGGAAATCATTTTTGAACGCACATGACCTCGACTGGCGTATCCTCACAACCTACAGAAAACCCACATTTCCATCACGTACTCGGCTTTAAACAGAACGATACGAAACTTTTAACGGTTTTAAAGACTTGAGTAAAATTGCATTTGCTAATTACTCTTGACTCATGCAAAAAAAAATATTTCAGATCCATTGCACTGCATGATTACGGGTCAAGTTATTGTACTTGTGTTTTTGTGGTCCATTTCTACAGTTTTTATGAAACTTCTGTGTATGATGTCCTTGCAGGGTGTGCCCTCTTCACTAAGAATAGTCCAGAGAAAGGTCATATAAAATTAATTTTTTGTAATGACCTTCAGAATATATTGCTGTATGGCCCCACGTTGGGCGCCAAATAAAAATGCTGTGTGGCCCCACGTTGGACGCCAAAGAATAATGCTATGGCAAATGGCCACTAAACAGTCCACAAGCACCTGCTCAGCTAGCTGAATTAATTTCAGTCACTAATAAAAGCAACTAACATGAAACATTTAAAATCCTGGGTCATAATTTGGCTCAAACTGACACACGACTGTTCATTTACACACAACATAAACTATGATTGCTCTACTTATCCCCATAGTTATGTTAATACAATTCAAAGAAAGGGATGTTGTAAATGCCGTTATCCTCTATCTAGTTCATTCCTCATGACAGCGTCTCAGATTATGTTTCCCTCATTTATTTTACTCCAGAAAAACTTTAGACTGCCTGCTGTAATTCTCTGTACCTTTTTTGAATTATCTGCAAAATTCAAAGTGATTCCCTGCTTGCATTCCAATTTACACTGTAGTATCAGGTTACATACATACTTGCGCATTGAAGATTTTGTTACACTGTATAAATAAAGTAAATCTATCATGAAATATGCTTTAATACTTAAAACTGACTGACGATCTTTAGGAAACAGAGCAACTCGAACATCTGCTACATGAAATAGAACATCAACTAAACACATGCACCCGCTCAGAGCTAATTTCCAAAAGTGGCGAATTGTCCCGAATGATTCATGCGATACGCAAAAAGCCTATGACGAGCTTTGTAACTGCACCCGTACCTGCCGATTTTCATAGGTAACCATCGTGAATCGCTGAATAAGATTACACATAATCTTTCAGCGAGATCGTACCTAATTACGACAGCAGCACATTCGTGATGCACGGCTTTTCGCACATTCAGCACAAAGCAGATCCCGTGTACTCGACACCCTTGCACTGCAATGGACTTTGTTGGCGTTTGAAAGTATATCCCGATGGTAATGGTGTTGTGCGAGGCAATTATCTATCTGTATTCTTAGAGTTGAGCGCCGGTTTTCCGGAAACATCCAAGTATGTTAACTTACTATGTACGTACTGATTATTGGATCAAATTTTAGATACGAGTACCGGGTCGAAATGATCCATCAGGCGAGTCGTGACGCGTCCAAAAATATTGTTAGGGAATTTGCTTCCGATTTTGAAGTGGGTGAATGTTGGGGGTACAATCGGTTTTTCAGGTTGGATCTTCTAGTTAGCGAAGGTTACCTGAACATCGCCCTGGACACGTTGATATTAAGGTAGCAGAGGTCATTTCGTTGGCATTGTGCTTAATATTAAGTTTCAAGATTCCACGTGCGAGCGCCCACGTTTTACCAACGTTGCCGAGACCAGCAGTGGTATATTAATCAACTTCAAACTGTTCAAAATCAGTATATTTCGCAAATAAATGAATCGAAAGAGGTAGGTTGGTTACTAATGATGACAGCAAGGCAAATGTTTTTATTTTCAGAGGTTAGCGGCAGAAATCTCTCGGAACGCGGTAGCATCATTTAGCACAGTCAGTGCTAACCAGGCAGCGGAACTAGGAGAGTCCAAGAATTTATTTACTGTGCCCGTAACGCCAGTAGCCATACCAGTATTAACCAGTTTAGAGGCATCTCCGTCAGCTTCACGTTCACTTAAAGAAGTGCACCCAGTTACCTTGTGTGCATTCACTAAGACTTTGTTGTCAAGCGCAATCAATCCACGGTGAGTAGCACAAATAAGGTTATAAGGTTATTGTAGAAGTGACTGACATGCCTCCTTAGTTTGTCATCATATTTTGCAGATAACCAGTAAGTATTCGGTATTCTTTATTTTCAAGGGAACATGTTTGACACTTTCGTTTCATTAGGTTTTTGCATTAAGGGAGGTAAGTATAATTTTTCTTGTCTGCACCGATTTAGTTGGGAATCCTCATCTCTACCAGTATAATTTACAAATATTCACAGAATTGGTTTATTTCATTTGAGTTTGTATTTCAGTGGTGTTATTTTTCCTTTTAGAATTGTTTGTAATTGCAACTTGTTTATTTAGATTTCTTGGTGACCGGCCAAATGTCAAATCACAATTTAGTCCAGGCTATATAATACTTTTGACAAAAAAAATTAGTTCACGGGGGTTGAAAGGGGTGGAAAGTGGTGTTTTGCAAATTGTGGCAAAACTATTAATTTTAGACAAAAATATTAAATGCAAAAGTTATAGATTAAAAAAATGAGCAACTTTTGTATCTGCACTATTTTCACATAACCTCCAATTTTCCTAGAAAAACCGGAAAAACTGTTTTTTTTTTCATTTTGTATTCTTATTTTTGCGAAAAAATGTCGTAGGGGTTTCAAATTTGGAGGAAACATAGCTTGGTTTATGATAAAAAAGAAGAACCGTTTCCAAGATCTCACGATTTCTGAAAAAAACCACCTCTGTTTCGAGGGGATGAAAAATTATTTTTTTTATCGTACAGAGGTGCGCGGGGTAACAAAATTTTCGGGAAGACATATTTTAATAAACAAGAATAAAAAAATATTATTCCTATAACAAAAACAGTTTTAAGATATACACGATTTTTGACATGATAAATCAACATGTTGGATGTTAATAAAGATTTTTTCGAAATCTGTCTTTTTGCTTCTCTAATGTTTGCTTAAATATTCTCTTTTTAGCGCATTTCCACAAAAATAAAAAAAAATGCGCTATTGTGGCCACTTTGTCCGTCCGTCCGTCCGCTAACTTTGCGACGCTACTAGTTTTTTATCTTAAGAGCTATTGTTCTACTTTTTTCGCTATTTGGTTCGTTATGGTGTCGAGTCTTGTACCAAGGAAGGAATTTTTTCTGTACCGCTTACAANCCGTTAGTTATGAACTGAATTGCATGAAATTCAATATGGGCATAGCTTTAGCCATATAATACGCAACGCCAAAAGTTGAATCGAATCGATTCAAAATTCACAGTGCCCTTTCGCATCTCGACCATTTATAAACCGAATTGCAAACTTTTTTACTTATAAAAGTATTTGAATGAAATTTGATACATATGCACTTGGAATAAAGGAAAATCAAACGCCAATTTCAAAATTTGGTTTTGCGCATGCGCAGTGCCAACTTTTTTATTTATGGAAGAATTTAAACGAATTTGATACATAGGCACTTGGGAATAAAGGAAAATCAAACGCCAATTTCAAAATTTGGTTTGGCGCAGGCGCAGTGCCAACTTATTTATCTATGGAACTATTTAAGTGAAATTTGATACTTAGGCGCTTGGAACAAAGGAAAATCTAACATTAGTTTTAAAATTTAGGTTTGCGCATGCGCAGTTCCAACTTTTTTATTTAGAAAAGCATTGAAATGAAATTCTTCTCATAAACTGAAATTGAAGTAGCACGTCAACAATGGATTGCCCATGTGCAACGCTATCTTTCATATTTGTTTCCGGATTTTTACGATTTTAACAGAAGTTGCATCTTACAAATGGGAAATGAATGCAAGTGGAAATGCTTTATGTAAATCGTTTACGATTACTTTTTAACTTGTGTTATCTTATGCTCAACTGTGTTAGTTAAAACATCTTTATTAACAAAACAGTTTCCGGTTTTTCTAGGAAAATTGGAGGTTATGTGAAAATAGTGTAGATACAAAAGTTGCTCATTTTTTAATCTCTATAACTTGTACATTTAATATTTTCGTCTAAAATTAATAGTTTTGCCACAATTTGCAAAACACCACTTTCCATCCCTTTCAACCCCCGGGATTTCACCCGCGGAAAAATTCGGCTGTTTTAATTATTTTTTCCCAATTTCTATTCATTTCACTTGCCCGAAAAACCCGGTTTCGCCCAGTAACTAATTCTTTTTGAAAATAAATTATTTTAGAGCTATTTAGCCTGGATTAATTAATAGTTTATCAAACAACAATCATCGTCAGAATTGCCAAGCTTGCTATCGTGCGTTGTAATTCAAATTGATTTTTTGATAAGCCAAAAATGTCATAAGTACTTTTTTACACTATATCATTCAATTTGAAATTTGATAGAAACCCCCCTTTTTTAGTAGTGCAGCGGAGAGCCGGCGCTAACTCGCTCATTTGACGTAGTTTTTTTTTCGGAGTAGAAAGAATTGGGACCCACACCATGTTCAGAAATGTTTGAACCTTCAGAATCTCGCTTTACGACATTTTCCCGTGGTCCTGACAAAAGTTATAGGCCGCTAAAGTTGAACTTTACTCATTTTCGCGCGCGCGACTAGACCACCGAAAGTATTTATTTTCTCAGCAACTAAGCGATATACATCAATAATTCCTTTTGTAAAATGAAAGTACATTTATAGCAGAATCTAAAGCATTCATATTTACCTACCTTGTTATGCACAGTTTTTAGAAAAATTACCGCCAACTTCCAAAATTCGTGTAGCAGATGAAAAGTGCGCACTTTGAACTCTCATAACTTTTTATTTCACGATATCGATTTCCAATATTTATAGCTCATTCGATGCTCCAAAGCATTGTGATTATTTTATTTTCTATAACATTACCGTGAATTTTTCATAATAAAAAAGTTACGGTCATTTAAGTAAACACCTACCCACCTCGCCGAGTCGGGAGTCGCGAGTGAGACGGAGAGGGAAGGATTGTCAGCAGCGTTCGCGCAACAAGGAGCGATGTGTAAGAGGTTCTACTTTACTAAGAAATTTCTCTCCGAATACCAAAACTAGCTATTTAGGCCGTTTACAAATGCATTCCGCCGGGTTGCATTGCAAAATCTCAAACAATTCATTAACTCCATGTATTCGTTTAGGAGCCACCCTCAAAAAAGTGGTTAAGTTTCCATTTCCCCTTTAATTTTTTTCTCAGCAACAGTTACAGAAACTGGTGGTAAGTCTTTGAATAGGTTTTGCTGTATGCCCTTTCCGGTTTTGCAAATAATTTTTCAAAATTCCTACCACAAAAGGGCACACCCCTCAATAGGGGTGTCAAAAAATGTTGATTTCGATGAAATTTGGAATCTGGTGGTTTTTGAATATAAAAATCACGAATCTGAAATTCGTTTTTGAAAATTCGAAAAAAATAATTCCACTGCAATTCTTGGCCGGACAACGAAAATTGACAAAATTCCACGAAGTTTGTTGTGTAGGTACATACGGAACAACATTGTTGAACAGTTTTTCTTAAGGTCATTTTCTGCTAAGGATCTACCTACATTTCACAAAAATTTGTCAAATAAAAAATGATAATTTTATCACAGCGAGCATTAATAACTTCGGCATCAATGAGGAAACAGTCACAGAATAAGAATAAGTAGGCCATATTCTGTGGAAACAGACGAAAAAAATTCAACGCACAGTCCTTTTTCATTTTTTTTCCTTTTTTTATTACGGATTTATGGCTCAGTGGTAAGAGCATTGGGTTATAAATCCGGAGGTCGGGTGTTCGAACCTGGGTTGAGGTGAATTTTTCATCTGTGGCGGAGATGGAAATTACCTTAGACCAGTTCCGAGCATTCTACCGGCTACTCCGAATTAGGTTTTCCTGCAATTTTCCTAATTCGTAAGGTAAATACCAGAGTAGTATAGACCATCTTAAGACCTTCTGCAGAGGCACCTCTAAATAGCATTATGCGGGTCACTCTGTAATTGGGCGCATGCCTGTTGAGGGCCCAAAACAAGAGAGGGATAATAAAATAAAATAAAATAAAATAAAATAAAAAATAAAACCGAGATACATCGGCAGAAGAAATCCAAATTCCTCGTTTACCTATCACTAGATAACGACCAGATAACTGACTTTAACAGCCTAAGTACATGCTGATAATCCGAAGTAAGTTCCGGTATCTAGCATTCAATATATGTATGCCGTTTTTGAATTCTCCACCAACGAGCTACAATACCATCCTAACCATCGTCTAGTGAAATCAAAAAACAAGCCTGAATCTTTGGGACAAAATCATACCGTTGTCACTGCTGATCTTGCAATATACAGCACAGCACAAGAGATACCTAATGTGGAGTAACCCCCAAAATTTACAGGGAAAGGTACCTATTTGTACCTATATATTTCACCAAAGAACTGAGATACATGGAGTTAATGAATTGTTTGAGATTTTACAATGCATCTCGGCGGAATGCATTTGTAAACTAAACGGCCTAAATAGCTAGTTTTGGTATTCGGAGAGAAATTTCTTAGTAAAGTAGAACCCGAGGTAGAACCTCTTACGCATCGCTCCTTGTTTAGCGAACGCTGCTGACTATCCTTCCCTCTCCGTCTTACTCGCGACTCCCGACTCGACGAGGTCGGTAGGTTTTTACTTAAATGACCGTAACTTTTTTATTATGAAAAATTCACGGTAATGTTATAGAAAATAAAATAATCACAATGCTTTGGAGCATCGAATGAGCTATAAATATTGGAAATCGATATCGTGAAATAAAAGGTTATGAGAGTTCAAAGTGCGCCATCTGCTACACGAATTTTGGAAGTTGGCGGTAATTTTTCTAAAAACTGTGCATAACAAGGTAGGTAAATATGAATGCTTTAGATTCTGCTATAAATGTACTTTCATTTTACAAAAGGAATTATTGATGTATATCGCTTAGTTGTTGAGAAAATAAATACTTTCGGTGGTCTAGTCGCGCGCGCGAAAATGAGTAAAGTTCAACTTTAGCGGCCTATAACTTTTGTCAGGACCACGGGAAAATGTCGTAAAGCGAGATTCTGAAGGTTCAAACATTTCTGAACAAAATGGCGTGGGTCCCAATTCTTTCTACTCCGAAAAAATTTTTTGAACGATTTCGCGGCTCTCTCCGCTGCACTATAGGGTGTGTGTTTTGTCACCTAGCAGTTAAACTAATAATGTGCAGCATTTTTTTCTTTCTCTTTTATATAATAATAATAATTATTATTTTGCTAATGCTAATAAAATAAATGAGTATATAATAAGCGGAAATCTGATACTGTCAGAAATAAAGTCATGCGCCACTTTTATTTCGCCGCCCTATACAATGGATCGAAAGTTGAGGCGGAGAATTGCAAAAGCGAAATGTTACCCTGGTATTATCACTAGCACAGACAATTAGAATTTCAGAAAAAATAAACTGTTCCAACCAATATAGAAGACGAGCGACAAACACAGACGCACGGACAGAAAGTTTAAATGACCAAAATTATACCAGCTTGACCATTGTCTACCTATTACTGAAATCAGAATTGGAAAATTTGAATGTTTGATTGCCCGTTACCATGAACGTTTGCATGCTTCATGATTGCGTTACAATGGAGTTTTTTCTTTCAGTACTGCCAGAAGCAATGCAGGCGGAGACGTCCCACAAAATCCATCAACTGCAAGTGTACCTGAAATACCCACCAATAACTTGTCTTCCACTTCAATTCAAACTCAGGTTACTCAGAAGTCGCCGTCGAGTGATAGTGCCTCTGTTAATCAAAATGACAGTAATGGCGTATCAGATTTGCCACATCATTTATTTGCGCTTAGCCTATCGGTAAGCTCGCCCAGTTTATTCAATTCTCTCACAGTGAGCAGCGGAAGTAGCGATACAGAGGTGAGTGTATGTGATCTTTGGTGATTATGATAAAGTTCCAAACTGCTGTAGGATATGAGCGAACCAGAAGCGATTTTTGAAGAAGACCAACGACCGAATTTAATTACGGTTGATTCGAATGACGAAAATGACGTGGACGATGAAACAATGTCAGGTACAGTTTTTTTTTTACATTTTGGCACTTGAAATTATTTAGCTATTAGTCTGTAATGTTCTTCAAATTTAGGAAATGGAGATAGTTCGAGAAATGTATTCTTTGATATCTCAAGTCTGCGGCAGTGCAGTACTGCTGATGATGATGATGCTGTTGAGAAAGACTGTGCCGATCCACACCCTGAGCCACTTCATCAATCTTCCTAAATCCTACACCAACTTGTCTTTAAATTTTTTGTAACACAAAAACGCAATAAAATTTGAGCTCGCTAATGTATCGTACTGAGGGAGTAATAATTTTAGGTGAAAATGATGTTGAATATGCCGAGTTTTCTATGGCGCAACGAATGTTGGTTCGTGAACCAAGTCCTGCAGGCGCCGTTGGCGTCACGTCACCAACACGAACTGATCGATCTTTCGAAGATAAGATAGTGTTATTCGATTTATTAGACAGGCACAGGCAATCCGCGAGCAACACTATCGAGTCTGAGGCACCGTGGAGTCACTCGGGCACAAGAGCAGGTATTTTGTTTCAAAAAATGTGTAGAATAAGTTAATGCTCTTTTGCAGGAAATGACTACAACTTACCTTTGATTGATCTTACTCAAGCAGACAGTCCTGTAAATATTGGAATGCTAAACAAAAATTCCAAACCGAGAAAAAGTAGTAAGTCCATCTGAAAAAAACTATTGTAAATTTGATTAATTCTAGCAGAACAAAATGGTGGGAATAATTCCGTTTCGAGAAGTTTTGATAATGCAACTTTCACTGAAATTGTTTATTTAGATCAATTGAAAAATGTAGCTATTATACCGTCAGTCCAGAGAAGATTAAAACTTGTCTATTTTAGGATAAATATGTATGTCCGTTGCTGGAGTCTCTTATTCAAGGAAGAAATCAGTTAGATCGGCGTACTAATAATTTTTTACCTCTTTTCCCTTCATCTTCCGAACTGAAGGAAATGCGCAAGACAACCGATTTTGTTGTTCCAAAGCCATCAGTTTCTTTATTGCATCCATCTACGTCAGGCTCTCAGAATACATCACAAATCGCGTCTGCAGGTAATACACATGTCATTGAAAAGTAAAGGGAATAGTTAGTTTGAACTACGAATGTGTGAGATGGCGCTAGTTGCCTCTTTCTTATAATGAGCTTTGAATGCAAATTCAACTGTTCTCAAACTTTTTGAACTTGGTGTAGAAACAATGTAAGAAGTGGGAATATCTGTTAGATGCAGTGTTTGGAGCAAACTCCGCATTTAGTTGGACACCTTCTTTACTAAGCCAACGAAAGATTACAGGGCATAGTTCTAAAGGTATTCCAAGAGATGGTAAACCAGAAAAAGAATCGTCAGCGGAAAAGAAGAAAAATAATCGTGAAAAGTAAGGTAATTTTTTAAACAGTTACATATTGAGATATATTCGTAGATCGCCTGAACGACCCAATTCCAATTGATTATCTGATTTGGCATCTGTGCGTCCATTCCTAGTACATTTAAATATTAAGTTGTAACAGGGAATTGTAGTGAAATATTTAAATTATTTTTGTTTCGTATAATGTTATCATATCGGAAGGTATAATAATACACATACTACTTTTTGAACATTTATTTGCGTATATTGACATACAATGGCAGTGGATATAGCACTTTCAAAAGGTTGATTGATTGCAATTAGTAATTATGGTAGTCCAAACCTTGTCGAAGCGTCATACAGTCAACTTCATCGATTTTTAAACTGTTTGTTTTAACGTTTACGTCTTCTTCTAATTGAATTTGAGTCTTCAGTAAGTATCGTAAGGAAGCTTGCGCCTAAAATTTCGTAGATATTAATATTAACACATTGTTATTAATCTTTTTCGCAGAAATCAAACTATACCCTATACAGCACGCATATATTCAGTTGGCAATATACAAATAGTGGATTTTGGGGGTTAAGTGTATGCAATAATCAAGGCATTACCAAATACCTGTGAATATAAATTATATTCAAAGAGAATACATAGGAAATTAAGTAACTCGGACACATCAACAGAAAATGAAGGTTCCAGAAACTTGTACTTAGGCCTCGTTCAGACACGGCGGTAACCGCGCGATTCTCATGAGGATCTTATTTACCTACATGGAAATGTTCCAAATCGTTCAGACACAACCGCGTGGAATTCGCGCGATTATCGCCGTGTCTCAACAAACAATCACGTTCATCTAAGTGATTTTTTGAAGAAACGATAGACATACCTCAGCAAGTAGTTGTTGAAGTGCCGCACAATTGTCTCTTAATTCTCGGACTTCGTTAACCAAATTTACTTCGACTAAATCACGACACAATTCCATACCAGGTCTTTGGGCGCGTTTACCTAGACGAGTATGCGATAGTGCCATAAATCCCTCATTTGTACTCAACGTTTTTTCTAATTGTAATATATTGCGAGTCATTTCGTTTGTTTGGCGCGAAATTTCGCTATGGTTAACTTCCAGTTTGGTTTTCGCCTCCTTAATTTCGTCGATTCGTCTTCGAAATGCTTCGTTAACGATATCCGCCTGATTTCGTAAATCTTCCATTACTTGACCGATTAAGGTGTTCACGTACGATCGCAAGCAGCATGCGCTATTTATTTCTTTCGCGGCTCTGGCTATATTTTGACGCGTGAAAACCTCCCATTCCTCTGCTGTGATGTTGCTGTAGATATAAGGTGAAAAAGTATAAGTGCGAGACTATAAGTTCTTACGACGGATCTAAGGGAGTAAATCCATGGTACATGCTGAGATTCATGCTATTTTGATTGATTGACAGATTTCCAGCGTCAATTTTTAAAACGTTGTCCTTATCCTCCAAGTCTCGGTCCATGAAATAAATTGTAGAGCGTAGGCGTCGCAGTTGCTCATTTCCCTGTTCCATTACACGGTATAGTAAGCTCATTGCGGATTCCAGAATTTCGGTTTCCTTAAGTAGTTCTCGTTCGACATCGTCGTGACACTACGATTTTAATTAGATGGTAAATGTACAGACCAAAAAGTGTCATGGGGCGGGTTTTATATTCATGATTGGATTGTGACGTGTAGAGGTGGCAGAATGTGTCTAGTTATGGCCCGCCGTAAAGATGACGGTGGTGGGGGGTGGGGTGCTTTTCAAAAAAAACTATTAATCACAAAAGATGTGTTGCCTGCCAGCGAGATCCCGTGGCTTAAGGGTGGCAGAGGCGGTCATACATGTCAAATTCTAATAAAAGTTCCGAGTTTCTGACTATATTTATGTCTTCAACCAGACGCAAAAAGTGTATGAGGTTTTCTTGTACAGCTCATCTAGGCACATCTTTTGTTGTATTAAACATTTTTCGCTATGTTACGCTTACTTTTCGAGAAAATTGCAAATTTACAAAAATTTAATAAATACATAAAATATGTAAAATTTTGATATAAATTTGGTTTTGGAAGGTTTATTTCTTTCGTTTTCTTTTTATTTTCAGACAGCCCTTACTTAAAAATCCCATCATGTATCAAATGATTCAAAAAAAGATTTTTGAATTTCTTTAAAATGTTTTTTTATTGAACTTTTTTAGAGTTATATTTTTGAAAAATCCTTTTAGTTTGACATATACAGGGTGTTACATAAATAATGAGGTTAGGTCTGACAACTTCTTTACCAGACCCCATATACTTATTTGGAAAACCGCAGGATATTCAACAATCAATGTCTAAGAACCTTTGATAACAAACGTTTTTCTGTTTATTTTTAACTATGAAAGTATGGGTAATTCTGAAATTGCCAAATTTTTATTATATATTATCCCCGTATTTCTCAAAGGAGTGAAAATTTTCAAAAATTTTGATTTTACCATTTTAAGTTTGACTCAAAATGAGCACATGACACCTTTAGCTATTACTTATTTAATAGCACTAGCTATAAAAGTGTTGAATATGAGACACCCTGTACTATGTGTGTGTATCTCAGCTATTTTTAAAGATATATTTGCAGTTTTCGCAACCCTGTGCCACTTTTTGTGAAACTTTTAATACCACAAACAGGATCAATGTAGCTAGGTACCTTACTACCGATGTATGAGAAAAAGGGTAAAAATTGATATATTTTACGTAGAATTCAGGGACGTAGTCAAGAAAATGTTTGGAACACCACTTCTGAGATTTGACCCAATGTTGGTACTTTTTAAATGCAACACCCTGTATATCTTAACGTCAATTGTTTGCATTCTTTTTCTTGATTTTTAATTTCAGCCAAGATCCAAAAATAAAAACGTTATGTTTTACGGTTTTTAAATAGTAGATAGAGATAACTGAGACCGAGGAATAAACGTCGCTGACGGTAGAAGGTAGAAGCATGTCATTTCAAAATTTTGAAAAATATGGTATAATATAGGTACACTGTGTCCAAGATAAGGATGTCGATCATGGGAATCTTCAAAACCATAGAAGATACGACGATGCTCAAATTATGGAAAAGCAATTAAACAGTTATTATCATGCTTTAAAGAATACCAGATTCCGATTACTTCCGAAAATATGCCAGAAAAACGGAAATTTGTCGATTTGGTTTTTATTTTTTTCTGATGCTATTTGAAGAGATTATATATGGACCGTAAAAAAGTGCATATAGACATATACTATATTGAGTAGCATTTTTTATTACGTATATGTCACACAAAAAAAATCAAAGTTAGAAACTGTTGGTTTCAACGGGATGGTGCACTCGCGCATAACTCTCTATTGGATAGGCATTCTGGCACGATTAGGTTAAGGTGTCCTGATTTTGAACAATTTACTCCGAACGAACCCAACCCGCAAAGTGGCAGAACTACGAGTAAAGCTCTTAAATCTGAATAGAACCATGATGATTAAGTCCAGGGTTTTACTATAGCAGTATAACAATTTATATAGATACCATGTCAATTCCAAGCCGACCTTCTCGCAGCACTATACATTTCCTATTAATAGGCAACGCCTGATTTTTCAAAAAGGCCAACGCATCCACGATTCGCTCATTGTAAATGGATAGATTATTAATTTCCAAACAAACTTCTTTACGCTGTCTCACGAGTTCGCCCTTATTAAACGTAATGTCGCCAATTCTCTCTTCGATCTTATGGTCAACCTCCCTCTTGTTCATCAACGCGATCTCCTGTATTTGTTCTCTTCCCTAGAATAAAGAGACAATGGGCTTCGTTTCATTTCAATAATAGATATTTTACTCTTTCGCATTCTGCCAAAATTTTATCTGCCAGTTGCTGTTGGTCTAGGCACGTTCGGTAGCGGACGCGGTTGTTTAAATACCACTCGTTCAATGTGAACCTATAATTGTTTGATATAAACTTTAAATATTTTTTATACATACCTTGATGGTGGTGGTGGAACCGGCACCACCGATGCTTCGTACAGCTTCAAAGTGGAATTCATTGTTTGTGATTAAAATTTTGTCCACAAAAAACACAAAATAAGCTTCTCTGAAGTTTGTGTGATCAATATGACAAACAGACAAGTACAAAAAAGTGTTGTGTTGTTATAGAGATAGCGCAATTGATTTTGCTCCCTTGCAAACATCTACGAATGAATCAAATAGTTATAGTTAGACTTTATTTTTAATAATATGTAAAATAAATATTGTATAAATATTAATATGCGTGATAATCCATGCTTTGTCTCAGCGTCATGCAATCGACTTCATCAATTTTCAAAGTGTTTGTCTTAACGTTAATATCTTCTTCTAATTGTATTTGGGTTTTCAGTAGGTATCTCAAAGACGCCTGAGCCTAACGTTAAAATGAGTAGGTACATAAGCGTCGCACAATTGCATTTACCTCTGATAGCATCTGCTGCAGCATGAAACAATTTTCTCTCAACTCCCTAACCTCATTCACTAATTTGGTCTCGACCAAGTCCCGACATAATTCCATCCCCGGTCGTTGCGCTCGACGGCCTAATCTTGTATGTGCCAGAGCCATGTATCCCTCTTTTTCAACTATCGACTTCTCTAATTTCAGTATGTTACGTGTCATTTCATTCGCTTGCCTTGCTGTCTAGTAAGAAGATTTTTGAAGATAAGCCTATAAGGGGAGGCCACCCCGCTACTTTTTGACGCTTAGTTTAAAATTTAAACGCAAGCCGCACATACTTGAAATTTTAACTTGGTCGATCAAAAAAGCTCAAAATAGTCTATGTGTGACATGGGCGAACGGACACGTTTGTTGAGCTGAAGGAACGTTTCCCTTGTGCGGGAATTGCTTTTCATACTCGCGTTCAGACTTTTTCAGCTCAACAAATCCCGTCATGTGCGCCACAGTATAATCACGCAAAATCACAAAATAGCCTCGCGCATAAATGTGGAATGGCCACCTCATTGTGCATGACTTCTAACTTCGTCTTGGCCTCTTTAATTTCTTCAATTCTTCTACGAAACGCTTCATTAACAACGTGATATTGACTCCACAAATCATCGATGACCTGTTTCAAAAATGTATCGACATACGCTCTCAGTGATCGTGCGCTATTTATTTCTTTTGCTGCTCGTTCCAAATTTTTAAATGTATACTGTTGCCATTCTTCAGCAGTGATGTTACTGTAATGTACCTATCTGTAACTAGATGTGTGGATACGACTCACTTACGCTGGATCTAATGGTGTAAATCCATGATACATGCTAAGATTAAAACTTCTTTCATTGATTATCATATTTTGGTAATCGATCTTTGTGACATTATCCTTGTCTTCCAAATCACGATCCATGAAGTACGTTGTCGACCTTAAACGACGTATTTGCTCATTTGCCTGTTCGAGTACGCGTTGCAACATTGCTTGTGACGCTTCTATCATTTCTGCTTCTTTGATCAGTTCTCGTTCAACATCGTCGTGGCACTAAAAACATTTGCAAAACACTGATATGGTCATTATTTCCCGCATACTAGGTCGATTCCAACTCGCCCCTCGCGAAAGATAATACACTTTTTGCATATCTTTAAGGCTTCCTCCCTCAAGGCATTCATTGCGTCGATAATACGCTCGTTATATGTTGTAAGATTATCAATTTCAATGCACACCTCCTTCCTTTGTTTTACAATATCATCCTTCACAAATTGAATATCACTAATTTTTTCTGTAATTCGATGATCGACCTCGCGCTTATTCAGCGCCGTTACTTCGTCTATAATACCTTGACCCTATAGTACGATTTATGAACAACAATGATGAGCAAATCTATTTTAGCTACCCTTTCGCATTCTGCTAGTATTTTGTCAGCAAGTTGTTGTTGATCGAGACACGCGCGATATCGAATTCGATTATTTAGGTACCACTCATTCAGTGTGAATCTAAATATGATGCATGGTTCAGGTTGTGAAAATAACACAATTTCTTACCGTGTTGGTGGTGGTGGAACGATCACCATCGATTCTCTATAAAATTGATTAGTATTCATTTTAATTGGCACAAACAAGTTTTTATAATATATCTGACAAAAGTCAATAAATAATTCAGTCAGTTGTTATAGACAATTCAACTCATGTATAAAAAATCGCATAAGCCGCAGTGAAATTGTCACTTTGACAGCGGCAAAAGTTACCTGCAACTTTTCCAGCGACAAATGCACTAGTGGTTTTTTCACTTATTCATTTTCGAACCAATTATCGCATTATCCTTTCCCATATGACTAGTTTGACGTCTGTCAATAATTGATTAATATGGTGAATTTCTTGTTCGTTAAATTGTCCTGCCGAATTACACTCGAGGTTTGTATTTAAACCGAGTAAATTTGGGTTGTTGCAATTCAAATCTGTTTCCTTTTAGCAATTGAACTCGAAAAACTGTCAACCTAAAAATGCTCCACCTGCGGTGTCGCATTTTTATTAGTTGACAGTTTTTCTCGTCTAATTGCTAGGCAACAGATTTTCATTACCTAAACAACCCAAATTTACTCGGTAAAATACAAACCTCTTGTGCAATTATAAGTGATAATTTGATACAATTGCCACTATAGAAATGTGTCTGATTCGCGCTTGTTTGAATGGTTGTTTCAGAAGTAAATCGGATTAGCTATAAATGTACATTTTGCTTTCTTAAAGGTGGGTTCATATCTCTCCGTTCATCCGTTGCGTTGATCCGTCAAACGAATAGCACATTTTGTTAAGGTTCATAGCAATCCGTCCACATTGTACATTTGCAAGTATAACCATAACCTATACTTTATTTTGTACTGTACCCTCCGTCATTTTCAGTATGTAAAAATGATACGAAAGTAAGAACACATTGCTATCTGGTTATCTATTACCGTGAAGAACGAATAGGCAAACGCTGTAACGTACCAAACATAACCTCACTCTTGTTAAAAACGGACAAACGGAAACGTATGAACGGAGAGCTATGAACTTACCTTAAGACCTTGTTAAATGGGTAAACTGTAATCTGCATTCGTTGTAGTAGTAGAATCTTGCCATCCACCGACCACTCGCTTAAAAAATGCGACGGACTCGGCGGAGATTATTTATGGGAATAGCTTTTGGCCAAAAGCCGTGAAGCGGTCGATGTGCGTAAGTGCGTTCCATGTATCCTAGGTTTGTACAAAGAGGACCGACCATATCCATATACGTGTACGTAATTGAAACGTAGAGATTCCAATTGGAATTGTCCTGGATGTGATAGAATGCGCTCTATTGTTTTTGTAGTAGTTGGCAGTTGGCACTATTAGTATTGTCATTTACTCTATGGTATTGTGAAACATATCACTTTTACTTTGGTCGTTGAAATGACAGGTCGATTTTTTGCGAAAAATGTTGATTTCGGTAGTGGACATTTTCCGCTAAAACTGTTTAAAATATTTATTTAAGCGTCTTTACGGGAATGGCGCAGGGCTTTTTACCCTTTTTAAGTTATGCCATATGTGTTAATTTAATTACCTATCTTTCTTTTATCTATATCGCAATCCGAAACCCATTTATTAATCGGGTACGTAAGTTGGAATTAATTGGAATTAGCTCTGATTTTGGCATTGTAGTTTTTGGATATATTTTACGAGCACTGGGGTGGTCGTATTAAAAGAAGTACCGGTTAATAAACCCATTTTAACACGACGACTTTTGTCAGTTTGATCTCGGTACAGAATAGACGTATTTAACGACACCCTTTCATTTTATTACCAAGACTCATTTAATTTACCTCATTCCGAATATACATACGTATATTAATCCTATCATCCTATTCTATTTTACATCCGAAATAAAATTGCATTTCTAACCGTGATTGTTACTTTATATTTCTAACTATCCTTTTTTGCTTACTTAACAGGTAAATATAGAGGTATCTTATACCAACTTGGGTGATAATAAATGAAACATCTTTTTACTTACAATGCAAAAATACACTATCTGTAACACTCAAGGTTACATTCGTACGTAAATTTATATTGTACCTTCTGTCCTATTCCTATAAAGGGAGACAACGTTATAACTGCTATAGGTACAGTGATAAGACAAGTGCTTGATTTGTGCTCTTTATGCACACATATTGTTGGCTGTTACTACCATTTGTGGTATCGGGATCGGGCATTAGGCCGCCAGACATTAGGATGCAGACATTGGACCGCAACACAGTAGACCGCAAACATTAAGCCGCGGACATTAGGACGCGAACATTTGGACGCAGACATTGGGACGCGGACACTGGGACGCAAGCATTGGGATGCAGACATTAGGACACAGGTACAGTTCCATCCCTTGTTGCACTTAAAGCAAGGAGCCATCAAATTCGTGTTTTTCTCGAAAATCTCGAAAACGCCACGATGAAAGCCCGCTAAATTTCGCTACGCGTCCGGATCACGTCCACGTTCTCCCCCCACCCCCTTCTTTTTCGCGTTTCGGGAGGGGTCCGCGTTAGTTATAACAGTTTGTTTCGTTCCCTATGTTTCTTCCGTATGTATGGTTGGTTGCCTGTTAGAATAGAGTACAGATTCAGTATTTAAATTTTAAAAACCAGTATTGTCCTTGTCCTTGTGATAAAATTCCTTTGCTTCTTATCTTTTCTTTTCCGGTCACTTTTGATTCTGGCATGGTCGTGTCCAGTGTGCCAATCTTCATTTGTGTAAAAATTTCATCTTAATTAATTATAAGGATCTTCACACATTGAAGTAAATATTTTCTAATTGTTACCCAATTTTGGAGACGTTTTTGGTTCTCATGGTAATATTTTTGGAGTTTCGCCAAGCGGATTTTGGAAGCACATTGGTCATCGGCTTGATACTTTGGCTCGTTTACGATCTTTAGAGGTTTGTACATCTTGTTTTGTTATTCCCAGCCCTTATTGGTAAACTAGCCATCCCCTACAAGTGCGTCCCTGTCGTTCTCTGCGTGGCGTCACCAACCCCAATTGTGGAACGGTATTCTACAACGAAAGGTCAGCTGTTTATTACTTGAACCTTCCCGACTACTTTGCAACGAACCATCGAATCCTGCATCCACGTAGAGACACCCTTGCCATTTTGTTCCCTTCCTCTCCTTACTTCCTTTCAGTTCCTTTGTTTTGTTGTAATTCGTGTTTTAATTTCAACAATTTATCACTGAACACTGGTCACGTAAAGAAAAAAAAAACGATAAGTAAAATAAAAACATCGTTGTGCTGTTATTGGTTATGTATTACTTTAAAACCGACAACCCTTCTGGTTGGTCGGACGATTAGAACTACTTTTTTTGGTTGTGCCTACTGCACCGAATTATTATTTTTGTACGTTTATGATTGTTAGGCAGTTATCAAGATAGCCTGTTGTTTTTTTTTTGGTTCTTAAAAAGGTAGAATGCCCGAGGTGAGGTACGTTTTTAGTAGCCCGTGAAAGAAAGGCCTTTGTTTTACCCCCGCACTAATTATTTTTGATTTTCATTTTAAACGCTCTAGACCCCAAGCGTGAGGATCTAGCGGCACTTGCTACTGCAAGAGTTTATTTTGTTTTCATTATTTGTACGTTTATGGAACTTTAATCTAAAATTTTTATTAACCGTTCAAGATACAGCGATCCCTTGATATTATAGATATACAGATCTTTAAATTCTATGCATATCAACAACTATAATTTAATAAACGACCAGTTCACCCCCATAGTTCTTTTTTTTTTTAATTTACAGGTATGTGTTGTGGTGTGTCCTTTTATCTTTCAGGTTCTGCGTTTCCTGTAGGTATCTTCTTGCATTTCCAAACGTATGTGGCGCTACCCTAGTCAATCAGAACCACGCGAATATATCCCTGAAATCTGAACCGCCTCGCTCCTGCATCAGAGCTAGACCGGAGCAATACCGGCATTTCTTTTTGCGCCCAAATGAAACCGCTATATAGTGTCGCAAAGAGAGAGAAAGGCGCGCGCGACGCTCCGGACTCGGGAGGGACCGGTCTTTCGCCCGAGACCGCTTCATTATACCTTTTATTGTCCTATGTACCTGCAACCTAATGTCTGCTTTTTAAGGTAACCTGCATGATGTTCGCGTCCCAATCTCCGCGTCCTAAAGTCTTGCGGCCAATTGCCATAGCGCAAAAAAATCTCAGTATTTACTGCAGATGAAAACAGTTAACACGGATTTTGTAAAATTAATAAAAACAAGTTGTAAATCAGCATATGCATGATTAAAGCGCATTTTTGATAATACAGGTCAGTATTTTATTACCGAAGTTTAAAATTATCGATCTCACGAGTAATTTTGGCTGCGTTAAATAATTTATTTTATTTTATTTTAATTGAGGGTACGTCTTCATTTTGTAAAACAAATCACAAAGTAAATAATTAAGTTTTTTAAAGTCACTAAATATATTTAGTGACTTTAAAGTTTTTATACTGGTAGCGCTATCTAACGGTAAAATTATAGCACCTCCGAAAACCATATCGAAATTATTGATCTCACAAGTAATATAACTCAAAATAGACTAGAGCCTGCACATCTACACTACAGCAGAAAGCTTTTAATGAACATTTGAGGTCTATTGTAGTTGCTGAGATCTCACCCGGACATCCGGCCAGCCAGCCAGGGCCGTAGCCAGAGGGGGGCGAATCAGGGCGCCGCCCTGGCAGGCAAAATTTTCGCCCTGGCAGGAGAATAGCGATGAAATTCTAAACAAGGATAAATTGTGCAATACTCTTGTGCAGATAAAGCGCATTTTCTTTAAAACATTTATTTTGTCTTTGTAAGTATCCTTCTCCCACAATCCACTCTTGAGGTATAAGGAATTATAACCGATCACTATAAGCGGTTAAAATATCTTAACCTTATGATATCCAACCCAAGCCATAATACACTTTACCCAAACTCGTCCTGAAACCTTCATTTTCATGCCTACTTTCTGTCAGGAAATTTGAGTTTCCATGACAGAGGCACAGCAGACGACGTTTCCTGCCGCTTGTCACTTTACTGGCCGCACCTGTTACCGGTCGCACCGTCACATTTTAAAATGTCTATAATTACTCCTGTCATCACTGACATATTGACATTAATGAAAAGTTCTATACAGGAAACAAACAACTCAATTCCTCGAAACCTTCCCCATGGATATTTAATTTAATTAAATAATATAATAATAAAATAATTAAATATCCATGGGGAAGGTTTTGAGGAATTGAGTTGTTTATTTCCTGTATGGTTCATCACTCCATTTAGAGTATGGATCAACCACGAGTTTTTTCTGACCAGAAGTTCTATATAAAAATTGAAATTTTATATTAAAATACAATTTCGGGTAAAATTTTAATACAAAACTCGTTAGTAAAATGACATTACCTGACTCGGAAATTAAAGTACTCGGGGCCACGCACTTCAACATTTCCTCGCCAGGAATGTATCATTTTCCGGACTATTATGTAAATGTCTATTTAATACTGCTGCATTGTCTGTTGTTGGCTGATAATTTGTTAAAAGCAATGACATAATCAATCAATGACCTTGACCTTTTGAAAAAATTGCCCCCCCCCCCCTAGTTAGCGCCCCGTAAACACCGCTTTTTTAATTCGCCCTGGCTATAACAATCAAAGCCCTGATAGCAACAAACCTCAGGCTACGGCCCTGCAGCCAGCCAGCCATAATGAATAGCATATTTTTTTTTAAATGCGCTAAAAATTGGTATTGTAGGGAATTTTTCTAAAAACGTTTATTAAAGTTCGTTTTTGTCAAATATACAAAATAGGATACCAAATCACAGTCAGTTTCCTAAAAAAGAATATAATGGAATTTGTTAAATTAAGCATATAACAATAAACTGTGACCTAATCGTAAATGTTTATAAGAGTTGAAAACAATTGAAACTGACACCACAGATATAAGGTATAAAAATTAATATAACATCACAGAGCAATGTGTGTTTAACTGGAAACGATAACAAAAAGGTCCTTTATTAAATAACAAACGTCAGTCTTAAAAAATCCACTTTAAAGCCTACTAAGTTGACTCCTGACCGATGAAGGTGAAAAAACATGCACTAAACTGTCCCATCCACAATCAGCGAGCTCGCCTTTTCGGTGTGCATTCCAATCTAACCCGTAAACAAATTCGGAATGGTGTTGTATAGTTTCTAAAGCCTCGGAACTGTGCTTGAAGTCCCATATTCTAGTAGTAAAATCGTAACTAACAGATGCCATCATACTTAAAGAGTGAGGCGAGAATTGCACTCTTCGTACAGCATACTCGCATCCCTTTAAATGAAAAATCGGTTGGGAAAAATTTCTTAAATCCCAACCTTTAATAAAACCATCCGAACCGGCAGTAGCTAAAATATTTTGGTCATATTTACACCAATCACAAGAGAGCACTTCGGCATCGTGCGCTTTGCAAAGCGCGGTCGCACCTTCTGCATTTAATGAATTCCAAATTCGTAAAGTTCCATCACCGGAAACCGACGCAAAACAGTTAGGAATGTGGGGGGACCACATCGCATTGTAAACTAATTGTGAGTGTCCCATGTATGTGTTCAACGAAGCTTTTCTCGTAGGGTCCCATACTTTGATTGTTGCATCCCACGATGCACTTAAAATCAATTGCTCTTGACGAGTTCTGTTCCAATCTACGGAGTAAACTTCCTTAATATGCTCATGAAATATTTGTGGCGGTATCGTTGAGATTGACAAATTCCACAGTTGTAAGCTTCCATCACCCGAAGCTGTGACTATTAACGCCGGATCTGCCTCTGACCATACGCAATCAAACAGTCCATCTGACCAGTTGAAACTTTGCAATTGTATCAGCTTTTTGTCCGGTGTCAACTCCAAAAGAAATAAAGTACCTCCACCTGTTAAACCGAAATATTGACTTGTCGCAACTGCAAGATGTTCCGGTCGGAAAGGTGAAAATCTAACGCTGTACCCATGTCTATTGGGTGTTAAAAATGATGCCATTATATAAATCTCTTCAATGCATTTCGTCTGGTTTGGTATCTTTATTGAACTATCGACGCAAACTTACGTATATATTTTTGTGTAGAACAAAAAAATAATGAGGTTAGAATTTGAAACGAAAATATATACAAAAGGATCCGCAATAAGTGAACCAAACTGACGGTATATGTGCACGTAGCTTGCGCGACTTTAGCGTCACCAAACGAGAACTCTGCACCCTATTGGTGTAAATATTTTGTGACTTGTGTTTGTTAGAGAAGAGATAACAACAGGTTATCTTTGCGTTTCTTTATAATGTATTTGTGTTTTGTATGCAACCTATTTTTTATTTGTGTGAGTTTCATTATTTTTTTAATTTGACTGGATGTAACCTCCATGGAAAATTATTTGTTTGATACTGTTAACTTTTATTGTTTAAAATCGCTTTCATTTTTTGTTTATGTTTTGTTTATGTTGATTACATAGTCTTAACTTGATCACAATAAGTTATAAAATATGTGGAAATTATCGAATTGTTTCAAGTTTGGTGTGTGTATAGACTTGTTTGTAAACTAACACTTTTCTCTGTGTATATTTTTTGCAAATTTGCACTCTAAACAGACAGTGGTAAATAACCATATTAGTTACGACACCTAATGCTGAGACTGTCCTCGAATCTCAACAATAGGCTGGGAAAATTTGTATGGGTATAATATGTATGTAGATATGTACGCTGATTATAAGACTGTGCACGCGCATATGTAAGTATTAATGTATTTAGATGTGAATTAAAGGGGATATGACCCTTAGTAGTTGAATCGTTACAAAAAAAAATGTGTTCTGGCACAGATAGCACCCGAACACCTCCGCGTGCGCGACTTTGCCCTTTTATGTCGAAGAATATGTGCACCCAATTTTGTTCTGATCGGCCCAGCCGTCTAAAAGTACAGACGGACAGACCGATCGACATCATCAAGATATTGTTTGATTCGGATTCCTCTGATACTCTCTAAAACACGTGTATTTTCGTCAAAAAAGTGGGGAGTTATTTTTTACCCCAATGCAATACCTCCCTTACTGACATGCGGGTGGTGATAGTGCACTTTTTACTCAAAGGGGTGCTCACTCATTCATTGATATCTTTTACATGATATTTATAGGTGATTTCACAGCATTATTGTACTTCAGCATTGAATAGTAATCATTTATTCAATTTGTTATTTCTGAAAACAAGCATAAAAATTCAGTTACGGTCTTGTAGACTGATGCGGACGCAACAAAAATGTAAAAAAGTAGCATTGTTTCTGCTGTAAGTAAGGTGTGTTGCCTAACCGTAGGAGTATGTCTCATTCTCACATAACCCAGTGCTATGCAAAGCAACTTGCATAGAAATAGAGTTAAACTGACAAATTTGACATATAGGAATATCGTTCAGATTTTACGTTTAATGTAAGTCCTAAGCACGTCCTCATTGCAACTTTATCAAGATTCAAAAATAACAAATATGTATTTAAAATGGCTACAGTAGATTACATGTATAGTTGTCGTCCTGCCAACATTATATTATATTCACCCTGTATAATTAACAATAGTGAAACTGTTAGCGTTTTCGATTGGCAAAACTCGTACTGCACGAGTGTTGCACGAGAAACTGAAAAAATCCATGTGAAAATTGCTCTTGGAACATAAATATTCGTAAATATTTGTTGTCATTTGTCCATAACCTCATTTTAGATTTAGGTAATCGACAAATCTGTATTCTAAAAAATGACAAACGTTTTCAGTATTATTTATGATAAACGATGGGGAATATAAATTTGAAATTCCAATTTTTGGCGTTCAGTTTAATGAGTAAGTGCAACTTTTTGTAAAATAGAAGTTATGGCTAGTTCATCATCTTCGCTATCGCTAGATGACGACAAAAAACTCTCCCAACGCAAGAAACAAATTCAAAATTGTCGCACGTTTGTTTTGAAAATTTGACTACTAACTAGCAGCTCCACGAGCTCTCGGACCTCGTGCGTCAAAATTTGCACTGAGTGCATAATTGTTGCATCACATTTGCCAATGGAACACAGAAAATTGCCCTAAAATTACCAATAGAACGTAAAAATTGCACTCGTGCAGCACGAGTTTTGCCAATCGAAAACGCTATGTGAAACGTGGTAACTCTGTAGTTCAGTGCAGAACCTGTTCCGTGGTTTTAACAGAAATGAGAAGATTGGTAAACATATATATAAGAGAAGTATATATATGTTGGTAAATATGAATTTGACAAATGCAATTTGTAAATACGTAATACAACTAGTGGATTATTTTAATATACTTAGGAAAAAGGCTTCGTATCATAAGTAAACAAAATTTTAATCACGCAATGTTATGAGGTAAACTATCGCCAGTTAAATCAAAGGTTGTATAATTTGAAGTACTTACTGGGAAGAAAGGATGGAACAACTCCCTACTGAACTCATCGAACTCATATTAGCAAGTGGTAGATTGACTATACAAGATGTACTTAATTTTAGTACGACCTGTTCAAATTATAGAAACGTAGTGTGTAACAGCAATTTCGTATGGAAGCACAAATTCATGCAAAAGTAAGTGATTAACGTTATGAATTGTGTTTAAACTCGTTCAATTTTAGATGGCCACAGTTTTTGCCATTGTTTAGTAAAGAGTTCAGCGAGTGGTTTAAGGAAACAATTTTTATTTACGAATTATCGAAACGTACTCATGCTATGTTGTCTACTATGTCTGAGAGATTTTATAAAAAGAGTGAACTGTCCAACTGTGATATGGGGGAGTGGGCGTTGTTAATGGACGAGATGCCTAGAATATATCATTATGTAGCCTTCGATTTAATGACGATTATACATTGCGATGAGCCGATTAGAAGTTTTCAAGTTGTACCTGTTGAGTAAGTGTCATGCATATACCATGTGATCAAAAATGAGTTGCTGTCGAGTCACCTTAGAATTTTTGTTTACATGGGAAATCGTACTTAAGTTGAACTTCCAAAGGCGACTTGACAGCAACTCATTTTTGATCGCTCGTTACAGGGTTATTATAAATGATTATAGGGGTCATAGTTGGCAATGAAAGTTTAATTGTGAACATACCTACCATGTAACTGATAATTCGCTTAATTAAGGTGGGTTCATAGCTCTCCGTTCATCCGTTGCGTTGATCCGTCAAAGGGATAGTACATTTTGTTAAGGTTCATAGCAATCCGTCCACATTGTACATTTGCAAGTGTAACCATAACCTAAACTTTATTTTGTACTGTACCCTCCGTGATTTTCAGTATGTGAAAATGGTACGAAAGTAAGAACACATTGCTATCTGATTATTACCGTGAAGAACGAATAGGCGAACACTGTTAACATACCAAACATAACCTCACTCTTGTTAAAAACGGACCAACGGAAACGTAAATGTTCAACTTCAACCAACTTTTCCGTCGTAAACGGACGACGTACGTTTAAAAATTTGCTGTCTTCTGATTGGCTAACGGACAAACGGAAACGTATGAACGGAGAGCTATGAACTTACC